AGCCCCTGATTTCACCTTGCACGCGGCGCTGGGTCCAGCAGAGCGTTCAGTGCCATGGACAATGTGTAGGCTTCAGTTATATATTGGTCTTTTGTGTTGCTTGAATTGAACATGTGGGCTTGGACGCCATCTCCTGATCGAGCACGCGGCGCCGTATCCAGCATTATGTGTAAGTACGTCGGCACCCATACGGGTGATTTCTTCGTGATGATTGCTTTCGTTGTGTCCCTTACTGTGCCTCGATTGTGCAATATTGGACGCTCGCTTGCGTCGCCTGGGAGGCCCCAAGAGGCGCCCGACAGGGCTCTCTACGCCAGGGCCCCCGCAAACCCCATGACGTCAGGAGCTCTGAACGCCAAGTCTCCCAGCACCGGCGAGGACGTAGACGCCTCTGACGTTCCAGGCTTGCGTTGATGTTCCGTAGGCTTTGGCTCCAGCGTTCCGCTGACGCTCCGCCTCGCCATGCGCCGACTGGGTTCATGGCGGACGACTTCCACCGATCGCCGCTGTCCCTCACATATCATGGCTGCTGATGCTGCCGCCGCCTCCATCACTGGCTTGGTCCACTTGCGACCTGCACTTCCGGCAAAGTATGCGCGGGTGATGCTGACTTCTCCGTGGCGCGCAAAAGGCCGGCTTCTCGCGGACGCCCCAGCGCAGACGCGCTGCATTGCACTCGCTGCGACCAGGACGCCCCGCGCCTGGACTTCGCGGCCCGCCATCGCAACCGACCCGCCCGCGCGCGCATCGCTTGCGCCGCCGCTGCACCGCAGATTTCGGCATGTCCCGACGCCGACCAGAAGTGCGCTGCGTTCATTGCGGGCTCTCCTCGCCTAGGGAAGCCTTCGCCTGCGACCGCAACAGGACGCGTGACAGCGTCCAACGCGAATGCAGCGTCGTGGGTAGACCACCCTTTGAAAACGCGCCCTTCTCCGTCGGAGACATGAACCGAAGTTGCCCGCATTCCGCAGCCCCCCCCCTGCCGAAACGCCGGCGCTCTGCTGCAGCAGCGGCGGGTGGGCGGTCACATCCGAGCACTTCTTCTCATCTCCAACGCCCGCCCGTCAGGAGATATCCCGCTCCACTTGGACCGCCAGGGACGCCGCGGGCCGTCTTCCACGCGAACCCACCGCCAATTATTCTCCTCGTCTGACAGGGCCCACGGCTGCAAGTCGCCGCCACAACAACCTATTCGCGTCAGCTGCTCACGAGATCCAGCGCGCAGGAAGCACGAAACAACTTCGATTCGGCAGCTACATGCGCCCTTCCAACCTCGAGATTCATGGCGCGATGCAGCGGGGACTGCTCACGGCAGCCGATCCCACCGCCGTGAGATATCTCACCGTCGACCCTCAAGAACGCGCTCGAAAAGCTACTGCGCCGCAATACGACACGGGGTTGCCCCGTCGCCTCGAACGCCTCCGAGTGCCCATCAACCTTTTCATGAATGAAATCAAGCGCCTCGGACTTGCGCGGACATCCTTGGGGCCGCGCGGCGGGTCAGAGATCCGAGCGCACATGCTGCCCTGCGCATCGGCGCCAGGCATCGGCAAAGCCCGCGGGGCCTCGCAGCGCACCTCAGGACCGCCAGCTCGGCTGGCATCGGAGCTGTTGTGGCCCGCGCAAAACGCAACTTCCGGACCTACCGCCAGACCGGCCTCTTAAGCAGCTGGCCATCGGCCTCTCGGCCGCCTCTGCTGCGCGCGCCGCCCGCCTTCCGATCTTCGACTGGCCGGCGTTGGAGAGCGAAATGGCGAAACAGATGCGGAGGCATTGCCAGGGCCGCGGCCGGGGGCACTTTTCGGCCAAGCAAGCGGCCGCAGACTTGACCCAGGCGCCAGGATGGGTGAGTGGCCCCGGGCCCCGCTCCAGGCCAGCCACATCCCGCGCCGGCCCTGGAGCCCAGGCCGGCCATTATTCGGCCGAGGCCACCGCTGGCAAGAAGGCGAAGCACATCCCGCGCTCCATGAATTTTAAACATCAGACGGAGAAATGAATGCAGCAAGCTCATCAGCTGGATGACCTCCCCCGCGGCCGCGGCCGCCGCAAGGTGCACGCCGACGCCCGCTCAGGGCAGCCACGGCGCATAGCGCTTAGCCGCGCGGGGGGGCGCGCGCCGCCCACGCTCGAACAGAAGTTCCCGTGCACCGGCCAGCCGGCTGGTCCCGATCTCGAAAACGAAGCCGTCGCCGTGAACCAAAATTGAGTTCGCCCGTCGGGTGGCCCCGTGGCCCTTTGGACATGCGCGCTTCCTTACGAAAACCACACCCACGACGGCCCCTCAGCTGGCCTACCCGGAGAACGTCAGACGCCCCTCATCCCGAGCCCTAGACGAAAAAAACAGCCGTCGACGTGAACCAAAAATTGGTTCAGCCCGTCGGGTGCTTCATCCCCAACGAAAACCCACACCCACGACGGCCCCTCGACGCCGGCATGCCCGGAGAGCGCCAGACGCCCCCATTTCCGGGCCCCGGAAGGAAAAAACAGCCGTCGACGTAAACCAAAAAATGGGTTCGGCCCGTTGGATGGCTTTTCGCTTCCAGACATGCTCAATCCTCATGACAACCCACGCCCCCGTTGGCCCCACGACCGCCAGCACGGCCACAAGCACAAACGCCAGCGCAATCACCAGCACGACCGCCCACCAGCACCATGCCCAGCACGACGGCCGCCATGACGAGCAGCACGGCCACTAGCACACCCGACGGCACGATGTCCAACACGAACACCGGCACGGCCACGAGCACGACCACCGACACAAGTGTCCTCCGTGATCGGTCCTGCAATAACAGCATCCCAATATCCCCGAAGCCATCAAGCTCGCGACACACATCATATCTACACCCCTTATGTCCATGAAGTTCACAAGCCTCTGTCGTACACATAGCGCGGCCGGATGCAAGGGTGAGGATGAGTGACAAGATGTTGTGGCGAAGCGAAGCGAGCCAACAGTAAATTGCACAATTGTATAATTATACACGTATATATATATGATACAAGACTGCATTGGCGTTTCGCGCCATGCTCCGTGTTCCAGACGCTTCCCCGCCAAAGCAATAAATCATCGCTTGCTTCAGCAGGGGGGGGCCTCGAGGCCTGGACGGACGACAGGCGCGCCTGCTGTCGATGCGTTCGCCCGATGCGCTTGCACGCTTGTGCGCAGGAGCGGGGAAGGAAAGGTGCTGGCAAACGACGAACCATAAAACTGTCGCGATGGCACTTGTCCATGAACGGGGAACGGGAAGGGAGCAGGGATGAAAGGGGGACTGAAGAAGCGGAAGGAGGGAGGAGGGGGAGAGACCTGTCTCTCTCGATCGAGGAATGCAAACCTCGAGCCTCAAGCGTGGAACCAGGATCTTCGGGACAGCTCGATGTATTTCGCCGTCTGGGCGGTTTGGGGGATCTTTTTGGGCCGTCCTGGGGCCTTCTTGGGCCATCCTGGGGCATTCTTGGGCCGTTTGGGGGAGCTGGGGCCCTCCAGAGGTCTTCTGAAGCCATCTAGGGCTCTCTTGGGGGCATCTAGTGGGTTTTTTTTGAGGTCTCCCATGGTTTTCGTGGGGCTCTCTGGGGCAGTCGGGGCATTCTTGGGCCGTTTTCAAGCCCTCTTGGGGGCCTTTTGGGCCGTTTGGGGGCGATATCGGGGGCCCATCGGGCCGTCTTGGACGCTGCGAAGTCCCCACAAGCGGATATGCTAAAAATAAACATTTTCCGTAGGGAATGGGACGATGTTTGCTTTTTCGGGGCTCTCTTGACGCCATCTTGGGGCGTCTTGGGGGCCTCTTCGGCCGTGTTCAGACAATCGAGGTTCCTCTCGGAGCACTCTTGTGCTGTTTGGGGTCTCTCGTGCGCCTTTCCGTTGGCCCTTCTGATCGCCTTGAATCTGCTCGCAAGGCCCGGCAAGGAGCCCTGGGAGGCCCAGACGGGCCAGCGGACCTTTTCCAAGGGCGCCCAGGGGGCCGCCGAGACGTCCGAAAGGGCGTCCGGGGCGTCCCTGGGGGGGGGGGGGTCCGGTTTATGGGTAGGGGTGGTGGTGGGGGGTCCGGGCAAGAAAGATATAGGAATAGGAATACGTACATACATATGTCCACACACATCCCCTTTTATATATTGTTACAGCCTGGGCGGTACGCGAAAGGGGTCACCCCTCCACAAAAAAAAACGGACTCCCGGGATCTCGGGCTTTGGGACCCTCTAAACGGGCCTCGAAGCGGCCCCCCGGGCCTCGCAGGGCGTTTTGCCAAGCCTTCCCAGCACACCTAAGGCGATCAGGGTGGTCATCGGAGACGTCCCAGAGACCCCCAAGACAGCACAAGAGCGCTCCAAGAGTGACCGACGTGACCTCCAGATGGCCCAAGAGGCCTCCAGGAGGACGGTCCCAAAGAGGCCTCCAAGAGCACTCACAAGAAGGCCTCAAGAGGCAAAAATCATTGATTTTCTGGTGGTTTTTTGGTGAATTTGGGGGTTCTCCTCTTTTCGGCTTCCCGACGCTCCAAGACGACGGTCTTCTGGGCGCTCGAGGCCGCCTGGGAGGCTCCAAAATCGCCCCACAACCATCCGAAAGGGCTTCTGGGCAGTCCAAGAGAGCCCCAAAACGGCACAACATGGGTCCAAGATGGCCCTCAGAGAGCCCTATGGCGGCCCAAGATGGCCCCAAGACACCCTCCGAAGCATTCCAAATCGTGACCTGATCGTTCAGGGAGACCGCGGTTGGAGGCAGGGTGGCCGAGGAAGCCCCCAGAGGCCCCCAGAATATGTCCAGGAGGCCTCCAGAAGGCCTTAAGAAAGCCTGAAACAACTTTTGCGAGGCCCCCACAGGCTCTCCAAGGAGGAGCCTCCGCAAAAAAGAGCTGCGGAGGATGGGGAGAATGCGCAGGGTATGGCGAAAATGATGAAAAAGAAGCATGGAGGAAAGATAACGAATAACATTATTATAGCGGCGATGCCGGAAAAGGCAACAAGGAGTTATCGCTAAGTTGTCGGCTTGCCCTTCCTGCTATTCCGCCTGCACACCAAACTTCAAGGACCAAGGTGCATGGCGCGAGGCGCCAATGCAGCCTTGTATGTATATATATAATTATATATATATATATATATATATATATATATATGTGTATGTATGTGTGTGCGTGTGCACATAAAACTTTTATTTATATATATATATATATATATATATACGAATGGACATCTACAATTGTGTTTTTCCTCCACTTCTCCTCCTCATCCTCCAGGGTCCGGTTTACATCTGCTCTCGTAGAGGTCAATCCATGCCACCAGCAGGATCGCACTACCTCCGGTCGCCCTGCCTTGCCTCCTCTCCTCCTCCTCCCTCCTCCTCCTCCTCCTCCTCCTCCTCCTCCTCCCCCTGCTCCTCCTCCTCCTCCTGCTCCTCCTCCTCCTCCTCCTCCTCCATCCCTGGCGTCGCTGCGCCTGAGGCTCACACCACGGCAGCCAGCGCCCACTCCACGCCGGCGGTGTCCTCGGGAGCAAGCCCTGCGGCTGCCGCGGCGGGCGTGCCCGCCAGCCCAGTCAACGTTGCCGCCGCAGCCTGCCCAGAGCAGGCGTCGACCGCGCCGGGCTAGCGTTCGGCTGGCACCGGCTGCGCGTACAGTAGGTTAACGCGGCGTTGGCGCGCTGGCGACGACGGCGAGGGCGTTCAAGGTTGAATTCTGCGACGCCGAAGCACCGAAGGACACGGCAACGCCACTGGATCCGACTGAATTCAACCTTGAACGATCGTGGTCGCGATCGGTTCAGGGTTGAACGATCGACGCGGTGTCAAAATCTTCGCGCGCGCCGACGCCTCGCGAACTTCCCGTAAGGGTGACTCTTCGCCAGAGTGACCTTTGGTGCGCGGTTTTTCGGGGGGCGCGGGGGGGAGACAATCTCAAGCACGCAGACCGCTACTGTCTCATCGCACGCAATTGTCCTCAAGCCACGCACCGATGGTCACTCCTGCCTAGGGTCACTCCTGCACGTAACCATTAGCAAAAAATCGTGCGACTCGCAGGGGCCCTCGAAAGGAAGAGAGGGGGCCGCATTCGTGTTACACTGGGCCAGCGCGGTTTATGGCGTACATAGTGGAAAGATGCAGAAGCGTGCGCGCTTGTGCGTGTGCGCGCGTGCACGCGGGTTGCAAGCGCACACGCGCGCGCGCGAATGCGTGCTTGCCTGTGTGCGCGCGTGCGTGCGTGCGTGACTGTGAGCGTGTGAGCGCGGCGTGCGCGCGCGTGTGGGGTGCGCGCGCTCTTTCGCGCCCACCACCAGCACCGAGCTCCTGCCAGCGAGATGCCGTGCAGGGCCCATCTCGGCCGCAGGCGGGAGAGCCCCCTCGCGCTCCGCGGCTGGACCCGGGGAGAGGCCCGCCACCTCTGCCCAGCCTCGAGGTCCTGGCGCCGCACTTTCTCCGCGGGCGTTCCGGGGCCTTGGCATCGCTCGGACGTGTGCGTTTTTCCTTCGGCGAGGACCATCGAGGAGCATCCTTGATCATTTGGCGAGAAACCACGCACGAAACCGGAAAAGGCACAGGGAATGGACGTCCGAGCGATGGCCAGCTCGCAGATCGGTCAGGCCCGAGGAAAGGTGTGGAAGGGTGGGGTCCGCGCAGGGCCCCTTGTCGTGACCCACTCACTGCGCGGTTGCACAGTTTTTGTCCGCGGCGTCGGCTGCCAGGGCAGGGGGTAGCGCGAGAGGGGCCGGTTCCCAAGAAGGCCGGGGGGGGGGGTCCAAGAAGGCAAGTTGCTCCTCAGAAGCGCCCCTGGCCTCTGAGAGGCCATCTTGCAGGCATTCAGGCGCTTCTAAGAAGGCCCCCGCCTTCCAAGGTCGGGCGTTGCGCAATGGGGGGCGATAAATGGGGGGTGGTGCGCCGTCTGTGCCACAAAGATCAGGGGCGGCCTAACCGACACCTGGTAAACCATCCCCTTCCATGACGTCCCCCTCGCCTTGCCCAAAGATGTATGTATGCGGCCGGAGGGACGCTTGAAAGGCGAGGATGACGTCACGGAAGGGAATGGCTTGCTTGTGGTCGGCCAGGCCGCGCGCGACAAGGTTCCCCCCCAGGAGCCCAACTGGGGCACGAAAGGTGCACGCTCCCCCCCCCCACCCCACTCATCGCCTCCCCGCACTCAGCAACGCCGAGAAGAGCCCCTTCCTCCTCTGCGACGGCCGCCTCGGCCGCCTCCCCCAACGGATTCCGCCTGCTGATCGTCGTCCTCATCGGGGCGAATGGGCGGCACGGAGTCCACAAATACAGCGGAGTCGAGACGGGCCATACAGTTGTCAAGGTTGACAGTCACGCCTTGCTGCCGTCTAGACTCAAGAGGACGGTTGCCCCGTCACAGGGCCTTCCAACCAGCTCTGCCAGCACACGTCGGCGGAACAACACACTCCGAGGCAAGGCCTCGGACAGAAGCACCTGAGGAGTAGAGTTTGCACCTCAGGCAACTAAAGAAAACTGAGCCATCCGAGCAGTCATGCCGCCGTACCGTGGTTCGACTTTTGCTGCCGCGCAGCATGAAGAAGTTTGGAGACGTTAGCACAGTTGCCAGAGGGCGGGCGCTCGCCAGCACGCCTGCCCTCCAAGCAGGCCACACATCTCCATGTGCCAGACCACCTCTCCCACATGTGCGGCACGGGGGAGGAACGCGGGGAAGAAGGAGACACAGGTGGGGTGTATGGCACATCGAGAGAAAGTGTCGGCCAGGGCAGAAGCAAATTCGCAACTACAATGCAGTAGGCCCTGGCCGCATCCACAAGCTTCGGGACATCTTCCATATCACCTGGGGCCGACAGATAAAGTGCTAATCAGTGCTTTGCCCCCGAATCCGCGTCCGAACTCCCTGTCCTGAGAAAACGCTCTCGGGTCGATCTGTCGGCATCGTTCACATTAAGGTGAGTTTCCACCTTGACGATGTCTTCTATCAGCAGACCCTCTAACGTACCGGCTTGCATGATCATCCCAGAGCAGGCTCGCTTGCCCGAATATCTATCAGGGATCGGGAGGCCACTCTGGTAAACAACGTTGGTACAATCGGAGTCCAGGATCGAACGGAAAACAACGAACTGGGAAATCACGCATCTAGGAGAGAACTCAGCCGCTTGCGGGGTTTGTTGTACATGGGCCCATACAGGACCTCTGACCTCTCCAAGGCACCCCCCACCATCCGAATTCGTTGGAATGGACCGGGCCGCCCTAGACAATTCCTTGACTGGATGCTTCTGGCAGGATCCGTCATTGAAGAGGTGACCCCGCCCCATTCCCCAGGGGGCATCGAGGAAGCGTAAGACTCCTCGAGTTCGCCGGAACTCGGGTTTGCCGACGCTTTTTGACGAGCCCGTCCTGGGTTTGACGGTCCATTGTTTGTGGATGTTTACAGCGGGGGGTCGCGTCAAATTTCAGCCTGGAACTCGTCATGTTCCTGACGGCCCCGTCAGGCCAACCCGAGTCCCCCGTGCCCGAGTCTGGCGTCTCCCCGAGGGTCGGAAGGTAGTGTTGTGTCCCGCGTCCGTTCCTGAGACCCCCGGGGGCCCAAAGAGGCCCAGGCCGAAGCCAGGGAGACACCGCTGGGACTGAAACAGACACGTCGTCGGAGATCTACTACCGGGACTCGTCGTGGTGGTGGAGGATGGAGGAGGAGGGGGACGACGAGGAGGAGGAGGAGGAGGAGGAGGAGCAGGAAAGGGGAGGAGGAGGAGGAGGAGGAGGAGAGGAGGAGGAGGAGGAGGAGGGGAGGAGGAGGAGGAGGAGGAGGAGGAGGAGGAGGAGGAGGAGGAGGGGGGCGAGGAGGACACATCGTCGGAGATCTGTGTGCGCACCGCTCCCCAGCCAAGATCGGCTGCACGTAGGCGTGCCCCTCCGCCGGAGTGACATCGGGTGTGCGGCTCCCCGGGGGCGGCGGCGGCGGTGGGGTTGCCAAACCCACCATGCAGGCTGCCACTGCCGCATCGCGTGCAGAGGCGGGCGGGCAGCGCACCAAAGGCCGCTCCTGCCGAGGGTCAACGCTTGACGCGCACCCTGGATCCGTGTTTGAGTGAGGGCCCCGGGACCAATGGACCTATGCAGCCACGACCGCCGATTGGGACAAGCACGAAGATGAGTTCGTGAACTTCTCATGGAGATGAGTGGTGAGTGCGCCGCGCTGGTTTTCCCAAGTCCTTTCCGAAGGGCCAGTGTGCTCGCGCACGCCTGCCGCCCATCTTTGGGTCACCCTCTGCGGCGATGACAGTTCGTTCGTTCGCTCGTTCCCTGGGGCCCGAGAAACAGGCCCCGAGGCCGAAACTGAAGAAACAACGCCCAGCTTGCAAATGGCACCCGCTCTCCCAGGACCCCCGACGTCGTGATTTGGGCTCGCAGCGTGGGCTCCCAGAGGTCGGGGGCGCCCAAGAGAGGGGTGATGACAGGGGGGGGGATATCATGGCGGGGGCCATGATACCTCCCCATATTTCATGGCGCCTCTTCTTGTTTCAATGCGTTCCCTGGTCCACGCACATGCCTCGGGCCATGGTGTGCACACGACCCTCTTGGACGCCCCCCTCTTAGACGCCCTCGAGGAGGTCTGGACCCCCTCCCTTCGACCAACTGTTCATCCCGAGTCGTTTCGCTCACAGTCGCGGGGCGCGACGACGACGACGACGACGACGACGACGACGACGACGACGACGACGAGGCCAACGGCGACGACGACAACGACGAGGCCGACGACGACAACGACGGCGAGGTCGACGACGACGACAACGAGGCCGACGACGAGGCCGACGACGACAACGAGAGTACCGCCGCGATTTTTCCACGACGCGAGGGGCCTGGGTCTCCCGCCCCCCCCCCCCCGCTTCCCCCAAAAGCCTTCGTGGAGGGCGTTCTGGCCGAAACTTCGCGGCGCATCCAGCCGAAGGCACGAGGACGCCCCAGGACGATGAAAGACCTCCAGAACCCAAACATCCCGAGTCTCGATTTCGTTCGAGACACAGGCCCCCGACCTCTCGACCATTTCTCGGGCCGGACGAAAGGGGGGGATTGGGAAAGGGTGTGTGACAAAATTTGCTGCATGCAGCTGATTTCAACCCCACCGAGGGGCCCATTCCTCGATACATAGCCGCCTCCGGCGCCGGGAGGCGCCGGGAAAATCAGCTACGTGAGCTGATTCTCAAACCCCCCTGTGCTATCCCCCCTTTCGCCCGGCCCGAACTTCCCCCCGACCGGTTTTTCATCCCGAGTCGTTGTTTGACGATCCCGAGGCCAGGGTAAGAGTCTCGAGGGGCCGAAAGGTATGAAAAAGATCCGTCTCGACTTTGTTCGAGACTCCGGGAGGTCTGGGAAAGCGACTTCGACCCTCGAACCTCAGTCCTCGAACCTCGAGCCTCGAACCTTTATCCTCGATCCCCGTGATCCCCGATCCTCAATCCTCATAATTACCTCGACCCCAGAGCCTCGAGCCTCGGTCCTCGATCCTCGAGCCTCGATCCTCGAGCCTCGAGCCTCAATCCCGAATCCTCGCGCCTCGAGCCGCCTCGCGCCTCGACCCTCGCGCCTCGACCCTCGCGCCTG